TAAAACGCTACTCTATCCTATCCCCTTCCTCTTAACATAAAAGGTATGGCTAGACTATCTTAGCCCTAAGTGAGCTCTAAACCAGCGGTTCCCAAACTGACAGCTTGCACACCACCAATTTAAAATAATACAGCCTTAAGTATCACCAGCACATTTTTGTCACATAAAGTAATTATAATAAATCTGTTAATGCGTACCACTGACAGGTTGTTGGTGTGCCACTCGTGGTACGTGTACCACAGATTGGGAGCTGCTGCTCTAAATTATAATACGTCCTGGCAGGGTTCAAGGAACCACAAGTGGCTTCTCTGTTGCTCCTCCATCTCCGTTGAAGACAGATGACAAAAAGACAGAGCCTAGCCTATGTATTTCACTGGATGTTCAAACTGTGCATGCATACATCACCATATTGCACTTGAATAAAATCTTTAAAACATTCATTCAACCTAACAACTGAAACAAAAAACTATTTTTATTTTAGTGCTAATATCCCAACAACATTTAGACAGCTATGACTGGGATAAAATGCCCATCAAATCCTGGGTAAATTAATATTATCTTTTTTATGGGGCACTACAAATGGACCAAAGGGATGGAATCTCTCTCTCTCTCTGCAGGCAGTGGGCTAGAATATTGCCTTATAAAGGAAAATTCTAAACCTCAGGTCCACTGTACACTGAAGCTCTCCTCGCAGGATTACTATGAATTTCTAGCACCAGAGACGCAGTCAACCGGTAAAGGGAGCCTGGGGGAGCATGTGCCCCATGAAAGGGCCGTCCCTGCTGTCGACACCGCCAGCGGCTACTGCGGACGCTCGGCAGCCCCGTCCCTGCTGCCGACACCGCCAGCGGCTACTGCGGACACTCGGCAGCCCCGTCCCTGCTTCCGACACCAGCTTCTGCAGGTGATCCCCCAGACTCAGGAAGCACCACTCGCAGAGATGTTTTAGGATCAGAGCAGAGAGGCTACTTTGGATTAGCAAGGCAAACCCTGTATTGCACATACACAGATGCTAAGCTTTCTCGCATACAACTTTTCAACTAGTTTAACTTGGTGAAACCAAATATTCCTTAGAACTAAGTGTATTATCTACCAATTATTTGGCACATCTACTTGAGATGTTACGTTGCTGTAGTGATGAGCTACAGCAGCGCAGTGTCAGCAGGCATTAACCGTGGTGCTGCCACTTGCTAAAGCAAAGTACTAAATGACTGCACAGTACCAACCGCACAGTGGGGTGCATGTGTAGATGCACCCATTAAGTGTTATTTTTTTTTAAACCAGTTTTTCAGTGTGAAAAAGTAGTTTTGGATTATCCAAGAAAAAATTAGAAACTCTTCCATTTTGAGATGTAAATCACCTAAAATATACCTCTATTGTAAAATGATGTTCAGAATACATTTTTTTTTCCCAATTGTGAAAAATAATTTTACCATATCTCTTTCCTCTAGCCTGGGAACAAAACACAACCATTTCCAGTTTAAAGAATTTTTCCCATTGAAAGAAAAATTCCCTAACCATGAAGCTAGCGTTAAACTGCCATTTTAGGGTATTAGGAATTTTTTTCCTAAGGTATATCCATAATACAAATACAAGGTATATCCATAATACAAATGTAATGATGGCAAAGTTAAGGTATCCAAGGTGAGAACTGATGCTGATCTACAACATCAAGTATAACCAAAATTCAAGTCCACCTTGAATGTTGGCATGCTAAGCCACATTGTTGTTAGTCTATAAATCACTTTAAAACTGAAGAATGAATCTTTCGCTTCATCTGGGGCCATATCATGCATCAGTTTTTACACAGAACTCCTAACTGATTTCAGTGAGGTCTTTGACTTCAAAACTGATGACATGATATGATCCCTGGACATTTTCAGAACAAGGCTCAAATATGCTTATGACAGTTTCAAAAATGTCAGTGTTAAGCCTGAGATAGCTTTGATCTTAGAAAACAGCAGCTGAATTTAAACAAACATTTCCACTTTGGTCTCCTGAAATAAGTATATATTGCTATTACAGTATTAAAAAAATCTCAATGAAAGGCACAATTCATTCTAAGTGTTCCCCTTAATTCTAGTTTAGGGGAAATGTCTTGAATAAACTGCATTAAAATGTTAAAATATGGTGTTCAAAAACCAAATAACCTGCTTTTGTATAAAATCTAGGTTTCTAAATGCATGGTTACAAATACTCTCCAGATTTATTATACACAACATTGACATGATGCAACTGACACTTAAACTTACCAATTTAAGTTAAGATAAATGACTAAGGCCCCAATCTTGCGTACAAAGGAGTGCTCCTTTATGAAGCCCCACAGACTTTAATGAGGATGCTTATCACTACAAAGTTGGGCTTGTGTGCATGTCTGCAAGACTGGGGCCCACGGTTGCCTCTGTGCTTACATTTGCAGTCTTTCCTTTTTTGCTCCCTACTTTTGCTATACCAAATGACATGAATACTACAAATATTCAGTTAATCTATCCGCAAATACTTATTTAATTAACCAATGCAATTTGTAAGATTAAGGGCTACTTTTGTTTGTTCAGTTGGGTGAATATTAAGGGGGGAAAAAAAGAAGATTTCCATGTCTCTTCACTTGACTTTTTAAAGAAATTCATTGCGTGTGTTTTCTCCTAATTTGGACTAACTTTGAACATATTTTATTGAACTGATTGGCAGCAATATTTGTGGAAGCAATTAATTTTAAACAAATGTTGGATAATATTTGTGGTAAGAAAATAGATTTGAGAAAGAGAGTATTTGTATGGGAAACCAAAGATTGGATGAATGTAATTTTAATGCAGAAACATGATATCCTGCAAGCTAGACATCAAAACTAACCAAATTTGAATATCAAATATGAAATGCTGAGAATAAATAGTCCATGTACAGACCAAAAATAGTGTGCCAAAATCAGCTGGCAAATTATGAATACTGAAGGAACTGGGGGGGGGGGGGGGGAAAAAAAAATACCACGCGAAACA